GCACTGCAGGGCTGTGAGCTGGGATGCTGAGGCTGCACACGGCTGGGGTGGGGGTGGGAAGTAGGGGCCCTTCTCACTGAGGGGCCCTGAGGCCGCCCAGGAGACTCTGGGCCCAGCCTGTGAGCAGCCCTGGGGAGTGGGCCTTCGCCCTGGGACCTCTGCTTCCTCCCCCAGGAACTCCCAGCCCTCCCTGGGCTCCCTCCTCCTCATGGTGCCCTTCCCCTGGAGCTGGCACCCCCTGGTGGGGGGGGTGTTGCATGAATGAGCACAGAAACAGGGAACCCCCAGATGCCCAGAGACCCTGGAGTGGGACAGCACCCTTCTCCCTGGGCCCTCTGGGTGCCGTGTGACAGCCCCTGCTTGCTGCGTCCACTGGCTGCCTGGCCTCTGCCCGCAGGTTGGCAGATGCCCTGAGAGCACGTGCCGTGTGTCAGGGCCGGGCTCCGGGGAGGGTGGGAGGCAGTGAGCCCTCACAGCCTCAGTTTACCCAGGTGTGAGACAGGGATGCTCACCCCTCCTGTGAGGACTGGAGGTGACTCAGGACGAGGGCCTGGCCCACAGGCACGAGGGTCACTTCCCCTCCTTGCGAGGAGGACGGGAGGAGAGCCTAGCCGCCCTCGCCGCCGCCACTGTGGGCACTGCCCTACTTCAGCCCCAGTTGCCAGGGAACCACCGGGCTCCTCGCTAACCTGGATTTCTCTATTGACGGGCGGCCTTTGTCTTCCTGCCTCGGTGCAGCCGCCACCGAGGGGCCGAGGGGGCCGGGTCCAGCTGTGTCTCCAGGCAACCCCAGCCTCTGGAGGCGGCAGGGTGGACCTCAGGCCCTAGAGCTGTGGCTGGGACACAAACTACCTGCCTCCCCTCCTTGCCCCAGGTGAGCGCCCGCCTCCCACCCCAGCTTCCCTTGGCAGGGAGCCCTCTGAGACACAGTTACTCCGTCCCGGCCCCGCCCCTGCCAACCCGTCCAGGCTCCTGCAGGTCCTGGGGGGAGTGCAGCTTCTCAGCTTGCAGCTGGGCTTGGTGTGTGTGACCTGGGCGTTGCCCACCCGCTTTCCCAGACGCCCCTCCCTACCTACACCCTCCTCCCTCCCAGATTCTCACCACGGCTAATGGCCCTTCCTGTGCACTGGACTCTGCGCCAACAGGACACATAAATATAGGAGAATTTCATTTACACCATATACCTGCCTGTCGGCGTATGCTGTTTCCCCTCACAATTTACACATGGGGAAACTGAGGCACAGCAACTGCTATTTGAGAGCCTACTTTGCACCAGGTCTTGTGCGGAGTATTTCCTGTGAATTCCCTCCTCTGCCCTCTGCAGTGGGCGAGGGGCCGGGCCGCAGCGCCAGCCAGCGAGGAGCAGAGCGGAGCAGGCCGGGCGGTCTCCCTGCGTTCGTTAGCCCCGGGCTTCAGGTCCAGGTTCAGACCCCCCCCCTCACCCCAGCCTCTGAGCTCCTTAACCATTCACCTGTTCTCTGGCCCTCCCAACCTTGGCAGAAGCTGCACCCTCTCCTGAGAGTGCCTTTTCTGACCCCAGCCCCGCACCTCCTAAGTTCACATACACTTCCCCACGAACCCGCACGGGGCCCTGTGCTGGGCACTGGGTGCTGGGCGCTGGGCCCGGAGGGCAGCAGCCAGTGGGGATGGGGTGCGCGGACAGGAGGGCCCGGTGCAGGATGATTAATGCAGAAGGGGAGGTGGTGGTGGGCTTCCAAGAGGAAGTGACTTTGAGCTGAAAGCTCTGAAGGAAGAGTAGGTGTTGCCCCGCCGATGGGAGGGGTTTCTGGGCAGAAGAAACAGATACCAACCAGTGCACTGGGGTGAGCGAGGCACTTGTGGGGGCTGAGCGGGGCCCAGGGTAGCTGGGGTGGGGTGGGGTGGGGGTGCGGCCGGATCATGAGACAAGGCTCCTAGGCTGCAGGTGGGGTGAACTGGAGGCCGTGGGGTGGGCACGGGGCTGGGAGACCTTCAGGATTTGGTGACGCTGACAGGAGGCTGGTGAGAGGCTGGGCGCTGCCGCTGCAGAGCTGGGAAAGGGGAAGCGGCGAGGCCGCCAGCGGCACGGCTTCCTCTTTCTGTGTGGCCTCTGGGGCTGCACCTCCCCGGTGCTCGGGCCTCTGGCCTGGGGCCCTGGTCTGGGCTTTGTTAGCTGGCTTTCCTCCAGGGAGTTTCTGGTTCTGATTGTTCGGGTATTTTTGTGGAGGGCAGGGGTGGGCTGCATGTGAGGAAGCCCCTGCTTCCGTGGGCCTGCGTGGCAGAGCGCTCCTGCCCAGACGTGGGCCCGGAGGGCTTTGTGGTGCATGAGACAGCGTCCCTGCCCTGCTGCTGTCTGGTGGGGGGGCCAATGATAAGCAAGCGGGCAAACAAATGCTTAATTACCTGCCCGGGCAGGAGGAGTAGCAGGAAAGAAGGGGCTGGGAGGAACTCCCACGACCTACTTCAGGCTCCTCACCTCATGTAAACCTCAGGGCGGCCTGGCTGGGGAGGCGATAGCCCATGCTGCAGACGAGGAAGCCGGGACCTGGGGAGGTGAGGTCAGGGCTGGTCCCTCGGGGAGCTGGTGGGGCCCCGCGAGGAGGCTTTGCTCAGGGAGGAGTGGCCTCGAAGCTAACTTCCTTCTCTGCCCTGGGGCCCCATGGGGTTCTCCTGGGCCAGGGGCACCCGGAGGGGAGAGGAGGCTGGTGGCTGTGGGCTCAGCCCTCCTCAGGGCCTCGGTCGGCCCTCCTGCCCCCTCTGGGGAGCTTCAGGAAGTCGCTGACGACTCGGCCTCTAGGACAAGGCAGAGCGGTTCAGGTGGGGCCTTCTCAGACCCCCACCCGGTCGGTCTGCAGAAGGGGCTTCCGTCTGAACTGGCTCGTTGGCGGAGGTTCTAGTGCTCAGGGCTTAGACGGTGGGTTCCTGGTGAGGGGGAGGTGCCGGGTGGGGGGGGGGGTAGGCCAGAGCTGCAGGTGTGTCTGCGGGTGCACAGCATTCGGGCCGGCTGGCGACTGCCTGACCGGGCAGGCCCACTGGGGGCTCCGTCTCGGCCGAGTGTGGGGCCGGGGAGCAGCCGTAAGCAGAGACTGGGGGCCAGACTGGAGTAAGTGCGGGTTTGGGGTAATTAGAAGGTAGGTAATTGGAAGGCGGCAGGGCCGGGGCAGCCGCGTCTGCGAATATGCCTGAGTGCATGGGTCCGCGCTGGCTTGGCACCTGGGCCCTCGGACTCTCGCTCTGTGCCTGGAGGCCTGGGGATCACAGCTCCCCGTCTGCCTGGGGATGAGCAGCTGCCCGGCCCTCCCCGTGGGCTCCCGTCGCCCAGCAGGTGCCCCTCGGGCCAGGGGTGGGCCGGGGCGTCCCTTCTGTGGCTTCAGTGCAGCTTCCGTCTCACTCCTGCCGTGGCCCTCTAGGACTGCCTTGGCGACTGGGAGGGCTGCTGGGTCTGGGGACCGGGCAGGGTTTGGGGACCAGCCTGGGGACCTGGGGCTGGTGGGCGGGTCTGTGGGTTAGATCCTGTGAGGAGCAGGGGGCTGTGGGGAGGTGGGCTTGAGGGGGAGCTGCGCAGGCGGGCGAAGGTCCACTCTGAGGCGGGAATTGGAAAGGAAGACTTGTGACAAGGCAGAGGGGGTGGGGCACGGTGAAGCGGGGCCCCAGGACTTCAGCTGAGGGGCACCGCCTGCCAGGCGCAGCCTCCACTCTGCTCTGGCCCGACATTCTGTCCCAGGTTTTCCCCCGAGCTGGCCTGGGGCTGAGAGCCACTGCCAGTGACCTGGAGAGTCCCGTGGTGTGGCCGCCGCCCCTCCCCCTCCCGGGGTGTGTAACTCAAGCCCCTGGCCTGTCACCCAGCGAGGGCAGATCGTTTTCCTCTGGCTCCTTTTCCGGGTGGGAAGCCCAGGCCACCCACAGGCTGAGGGGCCCTCGTGTGACCTGGGCTTTGCTGCCGGCAGCACTTGTCCCCAGGGGCTTGGCCTCAGCCGGCTTGGGGTTGGGGCTCCGGGCAGGGTCCCCTCAACCTGCTGGGGGCCCTGGGCCTGTGGCTTGGCTCTCCAATGCCCCCCTCGCCCTCCTGAGCCTGAAGCCAGGCCTCCTGGGAACCCCTCGCTGGGAACCCCCTGGTTTTGCCAGGGCCCCTGTTGTTGTCTGATCCGACCCTTCCCTCTGCTGCGCTCACCCTGCCCCTGGTGGGAGGCTGCAGAGGAGGCTGCACCCAGCCGGAGGGCTCTGCCCCGGGCCGGCGCCCACTGCAGGGGGACACTCGGTCTCTGGGACGTCGGTCTACTGTACGGTGCGAGCTCCCTGGTGACAGGGACACGCTGTCCATCCTGTTCATGTTCCGATTACTTCCTGTGCCCGGCACACAGTAGGCACCCGAGAGAGGATGGGACGCTGCGTGCTGGCCACGGCGGCCACCTGCGGGGTCCGCCCCGGTCCTCTGTGGAGAGGGCAGTGGGGCGAGGACGGGGACACGGGAGGGCAGGGGACACTGTGATGGAGTCAGGGTGGTGCAGGCGGGGACGTCTGGGGCCGAGCCCAGCTTTGGGGAAGGTGGTCTGGAGAGGCTTCTGGGAAGAGAGGCTTGTCTTGAGCTCTGGGAGGTGGGAGGCAGGGCCCCCCTTGGAGCAGGAACACAGGCGAGGGTGGAGAGCAGGAGGGTGGGCGTGTTCTCGGCCGCAGGGAGCTCTGAGGGGCGGGCGCCTGGGACATGGGGGTGGGGGAGTGCAAGCTCTCTTACACCCCATCCCCTGGGGACGGGGACAGGGACGCAGTCACGGTTTCCTTCCTCCCGGGCCCCCTGCCCAGGCCCCAGGCACCTGGCTGCTCAGGGGAGGGGAAGGAAGCCTCCTAAGCCTGGTAGGTCCTGCTGCTCCCCTCCAGTCGAGCTGCCCTGGGAGGCTGGTCCCAGACGGGGCCCCCACCTCTTCTCCGGCGTGCAGGGCGAGGGGTGGCGGCGGCGAGCACAGGCTGTGCTGGAAGCAGGCCTGGCGTCGCCTCCTGCTGAGCCCCCTCCGTCTGCCCTATAGGCTGGGGACCACGGGGCCTGAGGATGAAGCTGACCTCTGCACCACACTGGCCCCTGCCCTGCTTCCTCGTGGTGAGTTGGGGGTGGCCCTGCGGGGATGCCAGAGGAGCGAGTCCTGACACCTGTGCCCCAGGCCTCAGGAGGTGGAGTGTGGGGGCTGCTCGGTTCCCCAGCTTGGTCCAGTCGGGTCGGGCGGGCCGGCCGGTTCTCAGCTCTTCCCGTGACGCGCTCTGACCCGGGGAAGTGCCTCTGGGCCCACGCTGGTCTTGGAGCTGCGAGCCGGGTCTGGGGCCTGAGGGGTCCCCCGGAGCCTCGTGTGTGGCATTCCCTCCGCCCTTCGGGCGGCTGGCTCTGCTCTGTGCCCGCCGCCCGCGGAGCGAAATCAGAGGACGGTCCCCCCGGAGCAGGTGGACTCAGGGCAGACACTTCGTATCTGGAAAGGGAAGCAGAGAGCTCCCCGCGGAACGGGCTGCGGACACAGGCCGAGGAGGCCCTTCCCTGGGGACGCCGCAGGCCCCGGGGGTGCAGGGGTGTGCGCGGGCTGGCCGGGCGTCAGGGGCGCTCCGCAGGACGTGGTCCTGGAGACTCAGCGGCCGGAATAGGAAGCGGCAGCTGCGGATCTGGCCCGGGGGCGAGGAGCAGAGGCTGATGACAGGCCCAGCTGTGGTTGGGGGGTGGGGGTGGGGGGCCAGGCAGCAGGCAGAGAGGAATTCGGAAGCGTTTCCCCTCGTCCTGGAGGATGGAAGGGGAGTGACTCAGAAACCCAGGGGCTTGCATTCCCGACCAGGCCTGTCTGGGGCTTTCCAGCTCTTTCCAGAGGCAGACGCGGTGCCCTCCCTGCCTGGGCAATGGCCACGCGGCAGGTCTGGGACGGGCGGGTTTAACCTGCAGCGTGAGGGAGTGGGGTCAGAGGGCGTCCCTGAAGCCTGGGGGCGGGGCCTTGTGCCGTCCTCGGCCCCCGCTCCCGGGCGTCAGGAGTGGGTGGTGGGTGGGCAGCCCCAGGAGGCCACGGCCCAGCGCTTCCTGCTCAGTTGCCCTGCCCGCTGTCCTTCCAGCTGCTGCCCTGGCCTCTGGCTACACCGACATCGACGGCCCCTTGGCAGTGCCCGCCCGGGGAGGAGCCCGACCTGGTGAGCTCGCCCCGCCCACCTGCCCGTCCTGGGAAGGCTCTTGAGGGCCAGGGGCAGACTTCCCAGGGCCCTGGCCTGGCTCCTGCATTCGCTCTCACCCTTTCCCTCCCGCAGGACCCGGGGCAGGGCTCACTGTGCAGGTCCTGCCCGCCGGGCACCTTCTCCGCCTCATGGGGCTCCAGCCCATGCCAGCCCCACTCCCGCTGCAGCCTTCGAGGGAGGCTGGAGGCCCGGGCGGGCTCAGCGATTCAAGACACACGATGTGGAGACTGCCAGCCTGGGTGAGCCACGGGGTGGTGCGTGGGGGCTCATGCTGAGTGACCAGGACTCTGGGTCCTGGGGTCCCAGCCTCACCCTGCCCCTGAGCAGGCCTCAGCCCCCCATCTGTGAAACGGGTGGGTGAGGACTGGTGTGTGTGTCTGGTAGGGAGTCCAGCCTCTCTGGGGGAAGGTTCTGGTCTCAGTGACATTTTCCTCCCCTGTAGGCGGTTTGCTCCTTCAGAGGTTCCCCATGTTCCCTGCCAGCCATGCTTCCAGACACCTCTGGGTCCTCGTGGCTGTGACGGTGAGTGGCCGGTGGGGGCTACGACGGGTGAGGGTATGTATGGGGGGTCTGGTGAGCTTGAGCCCAGGGACCCCCACAGTGTCCATCCAAGGCCGTGGGGTCCTCATTCCCTCAGCTTGTGGTGGCGGTGGCGAACAGCGGGAGAGTGTCCAGCAGGAAATGTCATTGTCCCGCTGGCTGTGTGTCGGCCTCTTTGTGTCTGAGTGCCAGAGACCATCCGGCAGGTGGCAGCCACGCTGGAGGGCTCACACCCTGACCTGTCTGTCCTCTAGCCTCGTCCCCTTGAAAACACCCAGACAGATGGTGTGGGAACATCAGTTCGCACGCACACACGCACGCACGCACCTCCTCTCGCCCGCTGGGTCAAGTCACCTTCTGAGGCAGCTCATTCACAGGCCGGGCGTGGGCAGCAGGACCCAGAGCCCCTGGCCAGGCACACGTGCAGGCACCGTCAGGTGGCCCCTGCGCCCCAGCCTGAGGAGGGGCGCACGGGGGACAAGGTTCTGACCCTCCCGGGGCCCCGAGGATGCCTCTCTCAGGCTGACTCATCAGAAGGTCAGAGCAGGGGCTGGGGGTGAGCTGGCCTTTGCTTCCCCAGCATGGGCGGCTCTGGACGCATCAGCCCCCTGCCACACACACACGTGCACACGCACACGTACACAGGTACACATGTACACACGTACACACACACCCCTGACGTGGGCCCCGGGTCTCTGTGTGTGTGTTCCTCTCTGCCTCGGCCTCACCTCCCCGCATGTGTCCTCCGTGGTGCTCAGAGCGGAGATGGCGGACCCGACGTGGCGTGGAGGTGGCAGCGGGGGCCAGCAGCACCAGGGAGACACGGCAGCCTGGGAACGGCACGCGGGCCGGCGGCCCCGAGGAGACGGCCGCCCAGTACGCGGTCATCGCCATCGTGCCCATCTTCTGCCTCATGGGGCTGCTGGGCATCCTGGTGTGTAACCTGCTCAAGCGGAAGGGCTACCACTGCACTGCCCACAAGGAAGTTGGGCCCGGCCCTGGAGCTGGAGGCAGCGGTGAGGCCCGGCCTGGGGTCCTGGTGGGGAGGCCGGGGGGCAGGGCCAGCCAGCCCGGCCCAGCTTGGAGGCCACCCGAGGGAACCTGCGTGGCCTGGAGGGTCTGCCTGGGGGAGGCCTGCAGAGGGCAGATCAGGAGGGGTTCCTGGAGGTGCCGCATGCCAGCCACAGAGGGGGACACTGCAAACTGACGGGATGGAAGGAAGGACAGTGAGGTGGCCCGAGGTGGGGGAGGGCAGAGCAGAGGCACGTTTAGTGGCTTTAGTGGGATCCCATGCTGGGTGAGGCCACGCCTGCCTGTAAGGGTCTGGACTCCTCAGGGCTGTAGCTGTGTGGGGGTCGAGGGTCAGACTGCCTCCTCCTTACTCAAAGTGACCTCTGACCACTGGCCCAAGGGGCTGGCAGGGCAGCTGTCCTGGGTAGGCACCAGCAGAGGTTGAGGTTTCCAGGCTGTGGTTTGAGTTACGAGTCCTGGAACCAGAGCGGGAGACATGTTCCTCCCACTCCCACCCCAGAGCCCTGGGCCCCCTTTTCTTCTCCCCACCCACTACGCTGAAGGCCAGGAAATGTCATTGGCATTTCCTCACAGGGGCCCTACGTGCACATTTATTGCCCCCAGGAACCTTGTGGCTAAGTCCCGGCTGAACTGGCGCCTCCCACACCAGTGCCCCAGGCTGCCTGGGACTGGCCGGAGCCCTGCCCACCTCCCGACACTGAAGTCCAGAGGGGCAGGCAGGGCAGGGGCTGTGGGCAGGCAGGGAAGTGGAAACTCAGGCCAGCTCGCCTGGGGCTGCCCTTGTTTTCCTAGCCCAGGACCAACTCAAACTACTGGCTGCTGCCTGGGTACAAGTCCTAGGAGCTCTGTTTGCTGCTGGCAGGGGACTGACCACGTGGCCCATTTTCATGCCTTTGAAGTTTAGGTGCTAAGAGCCCTTTGTTAGTTACAGAGACAGGATGGCAGGCAGGGAGGTAACAGGCCCGGGACTGGCCGAGTCTGCAGGAGTTGGCTGAGGAGTGGAGAGGGCAAGCCCCAGAAGAGGCAGCCCCCCACCCCACACGCTGCCTCTGCAGGGACTGTGGAGTTCGGGTGGCCCTGACACTGCAAAGGGCCTACATTGAAGTGGGGCTTTGGGTGCAGGAGCAGTGGTGATGCTGCGGCCTGGAGCAGGTTTATAAACACCCAGGCTTGTGGCCCGACTCTTAGGGAGGCTCGTGCGCCCTCTGCCGCCACAGCCTGGTGTAGCTCGAGAGTCTGGAGCTCCCTCCGCCCTTCCCCAGAGTCATGGTCCTTCTTTTCTGACCCCAGGGAACAGCGCCGCCTACCGGGCTGAGGACGCCAACGAGGACACCATCGGGGTCCTGGTGCGCCTGATCACGGAGAAGAAAGGTGAGGGAAGGCGTGACCATCCCTGCGCCCAGGAAGGAGGCACAGCCCGTGAGGCGGCCTCAGGGGGCAGATCCCATCAGGCTCTGCGCTTCCCGCCAGGTCCCCTCGAGCCAGCCGGGTCCTCAGACTAGCGTGGCTGATGGTGCTGCCCCTCTTCCTCCAGTTCTTGCCTGAGTGGGGTGGCGCTGGGTGGAAGAAAAGGCACCTGGCCCAGGCAGGGAGGGGGTGGCGGGTAGGCAGGGGCATCGGTGCTGGGGCAGGGGTCCCGGGGAGTGCCCCTCATGGCCCAGAGCCGATCCTGACCTCAGCTGTCCGCAGAGAACGCGGCGGCCCTGGAGGAGCTGCTGAAGGAGTATCACAGCAGACAGCTGGTGCAGACCAGCCTCGGGCCTGCACCCAGGTGAGAGGGCAGGTGGGTGAGGAGGGCCCACACCCAGCTGATCAGCCGCCTCCTGGGGACTCACCACTTGGGTGTGCTCCCTCTCCTGTCACCCCAACTCCCCTTCACTACCTCCTGTGTCCTCTCCTGGTCCTGGCCTAGCCTAGTGACCAGTGACCGCTGCCCCCCATGCCCTCCATAGGCTGCCGCCCGGACCCCCCAGCATGCCGCACATCTGTCCGCATCGCCACCACCTCCACACCGTGCAGGGTCTGGCCTCACTCTCTGGCCCTTGCTGCTCCCGTTGCAGCCAGAAGAAGTGGCCCGAGGTGCTGCTGTCCCCTGAAGCTGCAGCTGCCACCACTCCTGCTCCCAGACTCCTGCCCAACCCCACCAGGGCTCCCAAGGCCGGGGCCAAGGCAGGACGCCAGGGCGAGATCACCATCTTGTCTGTGGGCAGGTGAGGTGGGCACAGACACGGCAGGTTTCAGGGGGAGACATGACTGGGGCGAGGAAGCAGGGACCTCGGGGCTGAGCTCTGAATACTCTGCTTGGTGATGGCCCACCCCTCCTGGCCTGGGTGTGCCTCTTTGGGCAGTGGGCGTGGCCACAGAGAAGGCAGGCCCACTCAGCCGTGCTGTCCCACCTGGAGCCATTGAGCCCCCAGGGTCCTGGCCCCTTACCACTCCGGGGGCCTTGGGCCAAGGGCCTGCTGCAACCTAGGGTCGGGGGTGTTGGGGGCTCGTCCGTGGGTAAAAGGCTCGGGAAGGACTCAGGCTCCGACCCACGAACTTGCCGTGTGACCCTGGCCGTACTGCCTTCCTGCTCCTGGGTCCTTCCTCTGACGGGGATGACTCCACTGCCTCTCCTCACAGGTTCCGCGTGGCCCGGATTCCCGAGCAGCGGACAAACTCACTGGCCTCTGAGGTGAAGACCATCACGGAGGCGGGGCCCTCGGGGGCTGATTTCACTGACTCCTCACAACCCGGCCCCCCCGCCGAGCAGCGGGCCCTGCTGGGAAGTAGTGGAAGCCATACTAAGTGGTCAAAGCCCCCAGCAGAGAAGAAGGCTGAGGTGAGGTGTCTACCCTGACAGCAGATGGGGCAGGGGTGGGGGTGTGGGGGGCCTGGGCGGGTGCCACATTCCTGGAGCCCAGGAGCCCCCAGACTGAGCTCCGGCCCCTCACTCCTGTCCCCCAGGAGAACCGCTATGTGGTCCGGCTGAGTGAGAGCAACCTGGTCATCTGACGGACAATCTTGTCTGAGAACACCGCAGGCCTGTCCTGGGAGGTTCCGAAGGCTTCCTGGAGGAGGTGGAGCTGCAGCTGGGCCCGGAAGGATCAAGCAGCAATGGCCCAGCAGACAGAACAGCAAGACCAAGGCCTGGAGGCGGGAGCGTCTGCCCCAGTGAGGAGGCAGGCCGGCAGGCACCGTGTCCGGGAGCAAGCTGAAAGTCCCACCCATCCCTGCTGCCCAGTTCCTTCCCTGCAGGATGCCCTTGACCCTGGGCCCTGGTCAGATCCGAGGAGCCCACAGCACCCTCTGTACCACCAGGAGGCTAGGCCCTGACGGTGGGAAGGGGCCCTCTGCCTGGCACCCCTGGCCCCACACCTTGGTAATTAGCCACCTCCTGCCTCAGTACAGGGCCCTCCAGCAGATGCACCTCCCCCTCCTCTAGGGGCAGCACAGTGTGTGGGCTGGGAGTCTGGATTCCTGGGTTCTAATCCTGGGCAAGTCCCTGGCCATCACTGGGTCCAAATTTTTCTGACTGTGAAGTCTCAGTGCCCAGGGCCTCTCCAGCTCCCTGCAGGATCTGGGCTGGGTCACGTGGGGGGAGAGCTTGTCTCCTTGCCACCCCCTCCCACTAGTAGCTTTACCTGGCCTCATTTTTGCTGCTTCCAGGGTGTCCATCTTCAGGGTCCCCAAGGGGCTGCCCACCCATGGTTCTGCCGACAGAGGGTCTCATGCATGTGCCTGCCCCCACCCCGCTCTTTTTACTGAAACTGAAGACACAGACTTGACCTGGGTGGGACTGTGCTGCAGCCCCAGCCTGCCCAGCCGCCCCCAAGATGCCAGGAGCTTCCGGGGGGAGGCGTGTGACAGGCTGGAGAGGCACCTCCGACCCAGGTGGTGCGTGTCCCTGTGGTGTCGGTGTCTGTCCCTGGCCTGGGTGGTGCGGGCAACAGCCCAGCCTGTCTCCACCCCAGTTCAGCAACCTGGTTATTTATGCGGGGCTGTGCAGGCACGGCCTCCCCCCACCCCGTCATCCTTGTTCTTATTTATTGAAACTTGGCTGTTGTCCTGTCCTTGTGTCTCCACCCACATCCATCTGTTGAATAAAAGGTGGGATAGTGGCGTCCTGAGGAGCCTCTGCCCTGGTCGTCTGTCCGTCCGTCCTCGAAACAGCTCTGTTTGGCGCTGTGTATGTGGGACAGGCCATCCCTCCCCTCGAGGTGCCTTCTCTCTGGCAGCAGGTGAAGTGGGGCGGGAGGGGCCTGGCACCCCGTCCAGTTCTCCCTGAAGCCCCAGAGGCAGTGCTATCCAACAGAAATCAAGTGTGTGCCAGGCATGCAATTTAAAATTGTCTAATAACTATGTTTTAAAAATTGAAAACAAACAGGTGAAGTTAATTTTAACGATATCAATAATGCATTCTATTTAACCCGGGCAATATCTGAAATATTTTCATTTCAATACACAATCAATATAAAATGATGAATGAGCCATTAGTATCTTTGCTTTGCAATCTGGTGTGTATCTGACACACAAACCACACCTTATTGCGAAGCAGCGAATTTCGAGGGCTTCACAGCCGCCTTGGGCAGACAGCTCCCTGCGGACAGCGCGGCTCTAGAGGGAGTGGAGCCCGGAAGGTGGGCGGGGCCAGACAGTGGGGGCTGGAGCCCGCGGAAGGGGAACAAGGTCCGCAGGATGGTAACAGAAACGCAAAGGGCAGCCGACAACAGAAATATGAGGAGTTGGAGAGGCTGTAAGTAGAATCCTCTTGACAGGTGTGGAGACGGGGGCGGGGCGGGGGGGGGAGGGTGGGCATTAGAAGGCAGCACCTGGGCTCTCGGAGGCCATCAGCCAGACCCCAGGGACGCCAAGGGGCTTCTAAAGCCTGCGGGAAGGGGAGGCACGGTGAGCTCGTTCTTGGGCGGGGCGGGGGGGGGGGGTGCGGAGTGGGAGCTCTTGCAGACATCCAGGCCGGAGGGGGTGGAGGCCGGGCTGCAGTGTTGTGACGGAAATGCATGAATCCTCCAATAGGTTCCAAGGACACGACTGCAGGGGCCTGGTAATGGGATGCAGGTCAAGGGGTCAGGGACAGCTGGGACAGCTGGGTGGGTGAAGAGCAGTCCTGGGGCACCCAGGACACAGCCCCACTGGATGTGCTGAGGCGTCTGGACGTGGAGGCGAGGGCGTCCTCTCGAGGGACAGGTCTGGGCCAGGCGATCTCTGGAGGCACTCACGTGGGCACTCGCCTGGACCGGCCCGGGCAGGGACGCGTTCCAGGGCGAGGGCTCAGGGCAGACTACTGGGCTGCTCCGGGAAGGCAGGCTGGAGTGCAGTATTCTGGAAACTCGGGAAGGAGAACCTGGGGAGCAGGGGGCCGGGTCACAAGGTCAGGAGGTGCTGCTGCTGCTGCTGCTGTGGTGCCAGGAAGCTGGGGCAGCCCCTCTTTGGGAGACGTGGGCGGGGCCAGCGTCCTCTCCAGGGAGTGGTGAGGACAGGCCATAGCAGGTGGGGCCTTGGGCTCCAGGGACAGGGGATTTTCAGTTCAGCCTGGGTTCTTTTGGAATTTGGTAAGTTTTTTTTTTTTAATACGGAAGAGAGGGGCACATTTAAAAATGAACGGGAAGGAGGCCCAAGGAGAGGCAGAAGCACCACAAGTGACCTTGATGGAACCTGGGGAGGTGTGGAGGGGACGCCTGTGGGACGACCGGCCGCTGCGGAGGCTGCTGGGCCCGCGGGAGGCCCTTCTCCCCAAGGGGCAGGCACACGTGCCTCGAGACTTCGAGTTCCCCACCTCCCCTTTCTACACCACAGACTTCTCTCTGGGGCGCTCAGGTGGGGAGGGGAGGGACGGCCCCTCTCAGGACCCAGGAGACAGAGGTGCACCTGCTCCAGGAGAGGGGGAAGGAGCAGAGAGGGGCTGGACGGCAGGGTTTCTCTGGAGCACCGAAGGCCGTCTGTTCGAGGGGCCAGCGAGCGCCACCGGGGCACCTGAGGGAGTGCTCCAGGGCTGCCAGGGTGCCCTGTGTCCTTACTTGCCAGCTGCCTAGCTGCACCTCAGGGTTTGGTGCTCAGTGTCTCTCAGCCAACCTCCTCCAAATCGCCCAGGACCGAGGCGGCACACGGGGTGAGGACAGTGCCCCCCAGGGCCCTCACCTGGGGTGAGGCGGGTACAGGTACTAGCGAGGGTGGAGGCTGGGAATGGCTTCTCGGGGCAGGTAACGGACACCCCACCTTGGTGCTGGGTCCTGAGTAGTAAGCACTGCTCCCTTCCCGATCCCCCCTTTTCTCTGAGCTAGAAGGTAAGAATGGTAGGGCTCTGGCCTGTTTCTTCGCCTGTCCCTTGGGGGTGTTGAGGCCAGATCTCAAGAGTGGGATAAGAAACTGAGATCAAGGTAGGGGTGTGTCGTCTGACGTCCTGGCCTTCAGGACCCCACCCTCACCTGGAAGCTTTCCTGGATCGTCCCCTCCTAGGCTCGACTCTCCTACATGCTGGGGCGGCAGCCTTGGGCTGACTGCCCCGGTACTCCACCCACACCCGCTCCCCTCCAGGGCCCAGTCCTCTGCCTCCCTGCCTGCTCCTGGCCCTCAGCCCTCCACTGTGGCCTGGAGCCGAGGTCCAGGTGAAAACCCCTTCCTGCCCTGGAGCAGGGCTGCGACCCATGCAGGCATGGCCTGTGGGCAGAGGACTGGGCCCTCTCCCCCCGACCTGACTGAGCTTTCTGCCCAAGGGAGGGAGAATGAGCCTCCTGTCAGGTTGGAACAGGAGGGGGGCCGGGGGGGGGCTATGGAGGCACAGAGGGTGGTTCGGGGAGAGGGCTGATGGACTCAGGAGTCCGGGTTCTGGTCGCGGCTTGAGTGGGCGCCAGGTGCCTTAGTCTCTTCGGGCCTGTTTTCTCTCCGTTCGAGGAGGCTGAGTTCTTGGAGGCTGGGCGGGTGCAGACTGGGGGGCCAGGCCCTGGAAGGAAAGGGTGGCCACGATGACCAGGGAGAATAGCCCCACCTGGGACCAGGGCAGTGGTTCTGCCCAAAGGGGAGCCACCAGTGAGATGCTGAGGACGAACGCTGCCGACACCCGGTGGACGTCTGGACGGAGACCACCTGACTTCCCCTGTGGCCCGCCTGACGAGTCCACCTGCTGCGAGCCCAGACACCGCCGCCTGGGGGGGATGGAGGGGGCAGAAGACGTGCGGCTCGGTGCCTGGGCTTCGGGGCCAGACCAGGCATGCGTTGCAACTCTCCTCGCACCAGCTCTGTAAGCTGCGTTGAGGTACTCACCTTCCTCAGCTGTCCCTGTTGAGGACAGGCCTGACAATGGGGCGCACTTCCATCGCGCTGTGCGGACTGGGCGTTACCACGCACACAGTGCCGCACCAGCCACGTGTGGTGGGTGCTCGGTGAGCCGCCGCCTTCAGCGCTCGGGGCACCCTGTGCTCCTGCGTCACACCCCTTAGTCCGGGTGCTGCCGGCACTCCCCAGGCCCCTCACCCGAGGCCCAGGGCAGCCCGCTGGGCCTGCAGGGAGACGCAGCACAGGCGGTGCCTGAGCGGTGAAAACAAGTTCAGAGCCAACTTGGGGAGCGGCCCAGGGAACTCACTGCTCAGGGGGTGGTCTGTGTCCCCTGCCCCAAGAACCACCAGTCTGGTCACCCAGACTTTTTTTGGAAACTTTTTTTTTAATAGTTATTGAATGTTCTACAGCTTACAGTAAATATCATAGTTACAAATTCTTGGCTTCAATCTTTCAGAGTGATCACTATCTGATCTTCAAAACAAAATGAAACAAAACCCAAAGGAATCCAAAACAACAAAACAAAACCAAATTTACACTTCATATACACAAGCGAGGCCATGGGGCTTCCCGATATTTGCACTCCAGGCTGTGTTTTGAAAACACCTACAAGTTCTTTGATCAAACTACTTGGAAGACACTGGTCAAAGGTTTATTATTATTTTAAATGTTTTTGCTTTTAAAATGCAAATTCCAATAAAGTTTAAAAATTAGATTCCAACCTGTAGATTAAAATGAATTAAAAAATACAAACTCATATACAACACTCTCTCACAGGATGTCACATGCCATGAGTCGGGTTTCCGTCGTGTGATGTGGAACGGGTGCAGATGCCTTTTAGTCAGGAGACGGGACAGGCCTCTGGGCCTTTGAAGGTCGTTACGGACAACTCCGAGTTGCTAGAGGCCTAGACTTGCCTCCCCTCGGTGAGGAGAAGCCCGATGCCCCCACAGACCCAGGGCCCGGCTGGCTGACCCCGGCTGGCGGTCTGGGTGGTCCCATTCCACCGGTTCTCGGGCTTGAGGAGGCCGGCTGGAGCCTGGAGATGCTGGTCTTGCTGGGGTCAGGCTCAAAGACGGCTTCGCCCAGGTCACTCCCACAGGCTGGTATTGTACTCATCTGCAAAGCTGTTCTATCTGTTCTCTTCCGGAAGGAAAGCAGCCCTCCACCAGGAGCTGGAATGGGGACAAGGTCTCCCTGCCACAGCAAGAAGCCTGGGCACTAGGGAAGCGGCCACAGGGAAGCGGAAGCTCTGGCTTCCTGTCAGGCTTTGTGACAACCAGTCCAATTCCCGTGCTGCTCACTCGGCCACGGGGCTGAACTCAACAGCATGTGAGACAGAGAAGGGCTGCTGAAACTGAGTGCGTGGGACCAAGTCGGGCTCAGGCAAGGTTGGCAATGGAATGTCAAAGCTGGCCTGGCAGGAACTTGAAAGGCTGGGTCCTGGGACCATGTAACACCTGATTTCAGAAATGTGTTCTCTGGGTGAGGGGACGGAGACAGGTAAAGGGCAAATCCTCCAGCCAGCCTGACACGCCCCACAGGAGCCTGAGTTCCTCGAGGCCCGGGTGTGGGTTCTGATGTCAGCCTGGCTGGGGGTCCTCTACCGTGACCCTGCTTTCGGAGGTGGGTCGGGCCTGAATTCCCAGGGCTACGCAGCGGCCTGCAGCTGGCTTCCCACCTGCCCACTCCACTGCCTGACTAACCCCTCCATGTCTCCAAGCTTGGCAAGCAGCTGGGCACTGCACGCCCTGCAGTGACACGGTGGAGTGCAGAATGGAAAAGCAGAGCTCCCCTGTGCTGTCAACTGCAACCGAGGAGCGATGCCATGGCGACCTCCAAATGATCCTTCTATTCAGAGTGCTGTGACCAAGACCGACGCACGCCTCCCAGCCCCCCCCCCGCCCCCCCCACCGGCCACGGAGCAGAGCTGAGGAATCTGATATGCGGGGCTCCTGGCCTGGCTAAGCCAGTGCCTCGCTGAGACGGGCCGAGCCCACCTGCACAATGACACACAGTCTGGTGACCAAGAGGCCTGCCCGACTTCATGCCCCACAATTCATTTCTTGAGGCCACTCAGAACAAAGCAAGCCCCTCCAAAGAAGCACCTCCACACGCCTGGGAGATCTCAGAAACTCAGAACAGTTTGGGTGGCCAGAGGTAAGAGATGGGTGAGGTGCAAGGACTGGGCACTGCGTCTAGGGCCTGGCCCTCACCCACAGGGCAGACGGCAGCCCCCCCCCCCCACCTGCCACCCAGACCCAGCAGGTGCCAGCAGAAGGCTGAGGGTCCGCAGAGTTTGAACATTGGCTCTTTCTCTTATGAGCTCTGTGACCTTTGGCAAGTCTCTTAAGCCTCTGAGACTTAGTTTTTTCCATCTATAAAATGGGTATTTTGGCAATCAATGTTGAAGTACTTTGTACATGAAAAACCACTTGGAATAGGTATGTGTCCTATTCAATATTTAGGGATGAGAATAGGATTTCACTTTAGGGTCATTGTGGGGGGTGGGGGAGAGAGAGAGAGAGGCAGCAAAGCAACTGCTCTGTCTCATGGGGAAGAAATTTTAAACATTTTTTCCAAAATGTGGCAGACTGCTTCAGGCTTTGGGTTCCAGACTCTCACCGCCTGGGGACCCCACAGCTTTCTAGGCCCCAGACTGAGGCAGTCAAACCGAAGAGGGGGGAAGCGAAGAGGGTTGGCTGTGGGACCACCTGCACACCTCTAACACTGGCCGCCAGGCTGCGGTACTGGGGAGAGGCAGTGGGGGGCGGCAAGAGGGCCCAGCGCTGTAGCCCACTGTCAGGTGGGCACACCCCCGTCCTCCGGCTTGCTGGCCTTCCTACAATGACAGGGCCCTTCGAGCTTTGACCTTCTGCCCAGCCTGACCGGTGGGTCACCCAGTGTCTTTGGATGACACCCACAGTACCTCCTGACAGACACCTGTGGGACTACCAGGTGTGCCCATCCCAGCGAAGCACAGCGCTGCCCCGGCTCCCGGCCCAGGCCCTCTGCGAGGACTCCCCACGCCTGGCCAGGCTCGTGGCTCTCCATCGGCGCCAGAGGGCGAGGCCAGCTGAGCTGGGGCTCCGACACTCACACGGAAAAAGGGGCGCTGGGCTTGGGCTCTTCCAGACCACAGCCTTGTTTACGCCCTGGGGCCTGTCTCTGATTCTGAATCACAGACTAGGACCGAGAGGGGGTGCAGATCGTGGATGTTTCCATTTGCAAGGCTGTGTGTGGTGGAGTCAGACGGGGAGGAAAAGACAGCAGACAGACTGAGATTCAAGTGGCTCTGCCACTTCAGAGCAAATCACTCTGAGTTTCCTCATGAGCCAAACGGGGGGAATCCTCTAATCCACAGCGTTATAGCAGGGGGTGGGTGTGAAGTTGCTTTGTGAACTGCAAGGTACTAGGCATTAGTTGTTGCTTACTGGTGTGGAAAGAACAAAAATAGCACAGTCACTCCTAAGTCTCCTCTTCCCCCCCGCCCCCATGGCCCCACTCCAGCCCATCGGAGGCAGCAGGGACAGGGGGAGGCTGTCGGGACACCAGCAGCTGCTCCCTCGGGGCAGTTCCCTTTCCTTCCAGACCCAGTTTCCTCGTCTGACCCTGTCCCTCTGTCTCGGGGCCAGTACATTAAAGGCCATGAAGTGCTCTGAAATCTATGAAGCACCTGACGAATGCAGACGTTTCCTCTTATTATTGTTATTATTTTGGCATTTTCCAAACATGACATAATATAACCACCCTTCATCCACCCTTACAAAACCAGAGCGTAGGAGGAGGTATTTGCAAAAAAATGGATTAACACTGGAAAACTTCGTTTTAGAATAAAACTTCAACAGACCATTTAGAATAGCTGGGCTTCTCCTTACTGGTCCTACAGGCCCCTGGACGGCCAAGAAGGTGGCCCCCAACTCCTGGCTCTGGGCAGAGGATGCTGATGGGCTCTGCCCACCTGGAATGGCCAGACAACCTCTGAGGTCCTTCTGGCTCAAGGGTTCCTGAATTTTTCCTCCTTTAGGGAGTAAAGGAGTAGGGGTAGGGATATGTCCGAGTTTGCATGAATTTAAATGGAAAAAGTTATTTAAAAGTCCCAAATGTTATCAATGATCGCATTTTGTACAGCAAAATGCCCCCAGCCCCACTAGGGGGCTGCTGGCCCAGCCAATTGCTGGGTATAGGGGGTCGTACTGGACGAGCCAGCCTCCTGCTGAGACTAGGGGGGCCTCCTGTCCAAGGAACCCCTCTTCTCCCAGGAGGTCCCGTGTCTCCTGGGCCTCACCCTCATCCTCCTCCCACTGAGGATGAGGAGCCACTGTCCTTAAACGCATTCTTTCAGCCAGCCCACCTGCCCGTGCCCCTAGGGCTGGAGTCAGGTATGGGGCGAACGTTCCAAATGTCTTCACAGAATTTCCAAATGCTATTTCTTCTTTTGCAATTTCTGTTCCTGCCATCTGTCCCCATGTAACCTCTGCCCAGTTTTTAACCCCCGCCTGTGGAGTCTGGAGAAAAAGAACAAAAACCCAGACAGATGCTGTTCCAGAGCTCACCAGATGTGGGCCCTGCTGACTTAATTTTTACAAAACCAAGGCAATCCATCCCTAGGTAAATTTTTGTGGGCAACATGCCCCTAGGTAGGAAGGCTGCATTTAATGCTAATTTACAACAAGTTCTAGGGAAGTCCTTTCTTCTTCTCGTGGCCTCAGCATCCTCATCTGTCGAATAGGGGAATGGATGAGATGATCGCTAAGGTCCCTTCTGTCCCATGAGTCTATGAAATGTTTATTGCTATTGCTTTCCTTCACTGTACTGACCTTCAAAGCCACCAGCACCCATCTGGAATGTGGTTCCTTCACTTCGGCTGTGAGTGGCAAAGGTAACCAAGAGCCTGGCCTGCCTGCCGGCCCCACAGACACATGGGTGAGTCCTGGCACTGGGAAGGGCGGCAGGAAGGGCGAGAAACACCACAGGTTCCCACTCTAATCAGGAGGTGGGTCCTCATCAGAGTGGGTCCATGAGGGCTCAGAGGCTAAGGTCTGGATTACAGAGGGTACCTGGCCTTCCAAGGCTCTGAGAGGCTGGGATCCCCCCACCCTGCAGCTGCTTAGCAGGTCTGAGGTCCAAACCACCTTCCGAGGAAGTGCCGGGTCAGTGCGCATAGCTGTGCAAATGAGAGGGTGGCGCAGGGCAGTCTGGCCTGAGACCTCACAAACCAAAGCCGGCAGGTAAGCGCCTCTCTCCCCTCTTCCCTCCCATATTGCTCCCCCCGCCCCAAGTTCTCCCAGTGAAAGAACAGGAGCTGCTTTATTAAGCTGCTATAAACACTCCTAACTAATCAGGTGGTTTTGTTCTTGGTCTGTTCCAATGGTTCTCAGAACACATTTCATTTGAGTCAGGACATGGTGCTGCCCTAGACTAATCTTGCTTGAGAAAAATCAAAAAGGAAACAATCCCCCAAAGATGTAGCCTGCTCAACGGCTCTGAGTGCCCACCCTGGACCGGAGGGCTACATCTGTCACACTCTCTGAAGGGAACAGTGCCTTCCCCCGAACCACTGCAAGAAACCCCCCTCTCTATTTGCCACTAGACTGGGGTCCCGGGGGTGGGTGCTGGGGGAGGGAAGAAGAACAGAGAGGAAGTGCCTGGTCAGGTGGGAGAAGGGACAGAGCCGGAAGGGCAGCGGCTAAGAGGAGGAACGTAGGGAGAGGCGGGAGATTTAAAAAAGCAGCTTTTACAAAAATCAAAAATAAAAACCAAAACCGTTAAAGATGCATAAAGTGACCCTTGCACTTCCGTTGTCTCTTCTTGCAAATAGAGGTGCGGCTGCTAGGGAACTGCTCCAGCACCTGTGTAAGACTTGAGTAGTTGCATACAATGTGTGACTCCAGATCTGGGGGAGGAAGGAGAAAGCCATCAGTAACGGAGACATTCCCAAGGCCACTTCAGGAAGCCACTGGCTGCCCTCCCCTCACCTTGGGAGCCCTCTGCACCTTCCCAGGGGAGTAGCACGTTGTGCAGGGTGCAGAGGGCAGGGGATCTCAAAGCGACACCCCGGCGCCCTGTGGTTCCCTGGCCCTGCCTAGGGAGCCACCGAGGGCAGATGGGGAGTGGGAGGTGGGTGCTGGCCTGAGGTCTCCACGTGGCCCCAGCCACAGGCAACATTTGGCCGAGGTAAGATTTCGGGTGGAGAATGGTACCCACAGTTAAAGCAAGGGTGAAGGCTGTACAGTAGAAAGTACAGAATTTAGTACTAGGGGACTGGGGTTCAAGTCCCAGCCTCATTTTTACTGGTTAGGTGATGCTGAACTATGTATTTATCTGTACGACAGAGCTGATGATCCTTCTTTCACAGAGCTACTGTAAGCATGATGAGATGCCACGTAAAGTGCCTAGAATACATGCAAAGTGACAGCTATTAAGAGTCATATTACTGAACTGAAGCAGGAAAGCAGTTGGTAACTGTCCCCTGCTCTGCTGACACCTGTGCTTCAGATCAAGCCAGGGACAGTGAAGCCGGTCCAGTGTCCGGTCACCCTCCTGCCCTCCCGCCCCAGGCCCCACTCACTCGGATGGGCTGCAGGCTTTACCAGTGCGGCGGCACGTAGCTGTATGCCGGGGTCCCCTGGGCCCTGTATGTTGGCATGGAGACGGGGTGTGCCCCGATCGCGGTGTGCTGGGGGGCAGTCAGCAGGGTCCCTGAGCATCAGAGAGAAAAGAGCAAGCTGAAGAGGCTGTCCCAGGGCACTGGGACGAGGAGGAGGAGGAAGCCACAGTCTCTCCCCCGCCCCCTGCTGCTCCCTCTGGGGTCCCTCCCCCCGCCACCCCTGCCACCACCCAGCCAGCTCCTGAACTGCCGCCCACTCTCCCCTGCCAACACCCCCCCCCACACCAAGCCAGGGTCTGTCTCCTCAGAGAAAGCTTTTCTGACGCTCCAGGATGGAGCCCACCGCTCTTCCCCAGTGGCCCCCTCTCACTCGTCTTTGCGTGCTCCCCTCAGGCGGACATGTCGTACTGAGGGGCGTTAGGTGGTTTACAGGCTGTGTTTCCTACTGACCTTGCCGTCCCTAAGGGCGGGGCTCTGGTCTGACCTACTGGCAGCTGGTCCCCAGGACCTGAACAAAAGTCTGGTCCCAAGAGAGACTCAATAGCTCCCTGACCTGATCTAGGAAATGAGAGGCCCCAACAATCCCTCGCATTAGGGTCGGGATAAAATTCCCAACGCCTACCTCCTGCCCGCTCGACCCCTCAAAAGGTGACCCAGCAGATCCTTCAGAAGTTGGGGCTCTTAAAGATCATCGCCGGCCCCTGGTCTTCTCACGCTCTTTGGAACATGAGACCGCCAGGACTTGCCTACGCCTGCTCTTCCTCTGGTGTGTCTCCCACCCCCACCCTCCGGAGGCTCCTGAGGGGCAGGGCTCTGCTCTAATTTTTGAAATAAGCCAGAAATGGAGAAGGGTCCTCCTGGATTCCTGCTTCTCCCACTCCTTATGATTAATTACTGGACAGGTCCTTAAGCTCCTGCCTGCTAGCTAAGTAGCACTGCCCCACACCCTCCTTCCTAGGACCCCTGCCGCCATCAGAGTCCTAGTGGTGTCCTGGTCTCTGCCCTGACTGCAGCCTCCCCTGGACCTACGCCCTCCCGGCCTCTCCACCTCTCCTCCTGCCTCCATCTTGCAACCAGAATGGTTAAAGCAAGTCTCCTTTCCCATCTGCCTAAACCCCTCTGCTAGCTCCTCGTTAGCTAAAGGTACTCTCTCCCCTCCTTTATCTCTGCCGACTGCTCCAGCCACCCACACCCCTTTCTGGGGGCCTTGGACCACTTCTGTTCTGTGAACACGCCCTGCTCACGTTCTTCCGCCTAGAGGGCCCTTCCCTCTTCCATTTCTCTGGAGAGCCTCTGTTCACCATTAAGTTGTCTAGCTCAACATGCCTCCTCGTGAAACCCCCCTCATCCCTGCAGACAGATTTAAAGGATCTTTCCTCTGGGTTCCCAGAGCTCCCTGGTTCAGGATCTCTCCTACCATGCTGTAGTCAGTTCCATGACTGTCTTCCGCTATGGCATGAGTGCCTGGAAGAGGGGGACAGATGGACACTGACACAGAGGCGACCCCCACCTGCTGACATCGCCATGGTGGTGCCGGCCACCATGCCCATGGCCACGCCGTTGGTCCTGGGGGCAGCTACGGGTGCCGGGTAGATGGCGGAGGGAATGCTGTTGGGCTGGACGACCGTGGTGTGGTGGATGACGTGGGGCTGGGCAGCGTACACCGGCTGTGTGTAGTAGGCTCCCTGGAGGGAAAGAGGCTGCGGTCACACGGGCTGTTAAAGGCGTGGGTGGGATATGGGGAGGAGGGGAGGGGTGGGGAGCCTATTCTTTCCAGACCCTAAGGGATGGGGTCAGAGAAACACTGTCTGGGCACACGGGGCACGGGCCCCAGTTGGGGCTCTGCTTCTGACCTTCTACGAGAATGTGGACAATTCAGTGCTGGGCTCAGCTTCTGGCCCAAAAAGTAAGGGTCAGCCCTGTCCTACCTCGTTCCTAGGGCTGCTAGGATCTCTAGTGGGGTAACAGCTCCACTCCCTTAATACTGACTTCAGCATATTAAAAATGTCTGTACTTTATTACACTCTGCTCTATGAGCTGCCTAAATGTGAAGGCAGAGACCAGCAAGAGGGAAGAGGACGTGGTTGTGGCTGGTAGCTGATGCGCACACGTTGGGGATGACTAGTGGGCGTGTCGTGCTGTGCAAATGCCGCTGTTGTGCATATTGGGAAGATGTCCTAAATGCAGGGCCTTTCCCTAGATGTCTCTCACGCGTATTTCCCTTTAGAAGAAAAAGGTGGAGGACAGAAACCATGGTCTGAGGTGACTTCCCACTGCCTGGGTCACATGGCTGCTTCCTGCTACGACAGCGACAGGCCTGCTGGCCCACGGGGGCAACAGACCAGGGTCCTTGGAGCATCTGAACCCAGAGCTTCTCAAATATTTCCGTTAAATAATGACAGCAGCTTCAGGATGGGGTCTATAACCCGAGATCTGAGAGCAGAGTGCACAGCAGCCTGCCACAAACAAGAAAAATTTATCTCAAGCCTATTTTCCTTTGAGAGTTTCATTCTACTCTGCAATATAGCTGTTCTTTATAAATTTTTTTAAAAGATTTTCTTTATTTTTAGAGAGAGGGGAAGGGAGGGAGAAACAGAGGGAAAGAAATAGCAATGTGTGGTTGCCTCTCAGGTGGTCCCCCATGGGGACCTGGCCTGCAACCCAGGCATGTGCCCTGGCTGGGAATCAAACCGTCGACCCTTTGGTTTGCAGCCTGCGCTCAATCCACTGAGCTATACCAGCCAGGGCATGTTTTTTAAATTTAAAAAGTGTTCTCCTTACTACTTAAACCTCACATAGAATCGTCCCTCTAGAAAAGCGTGCCGTGAGCACGTTAAAGCCTCGTACAGTCACGGTGGCACAGCCACCCCCAGAGCACACACGGTTTCCAGCTGAAGGGGCCCAGAAGGGGGTGCTGAGGCACAGAGGGGACTGGCCCAAGGTCACACAGGAACTGGTGGCAGAGCCAGGGCACTGATCTCCTCCTCACTCACGCTCACAGACTGTATCAAGGAAGGGCAGATCTGGGGAGTACGGAGAGACATCCAAGACATAAGGGGTCTCATCAGGACTCAACCGATAGTTCCCTGTGCATCCCTGGACAAGTCACTCCCCTCTCTGTGTGTCAGATGCCCCAGCTGAGCTAGGGGATCCCAAGGGCCCTTCCCCTCTGGCATTCTAGGCTCCCCTGATCTCAGTGTCTTTGTGTGTCACCCCCTCCCGCCACTCTGCTCCCAGAGGCTGAGGTGGAGTGAGGGAGTGTATGGGCTGCAGGGACACTGTTCCAGGGTTACACCCTCCTTCCTTTTCTTTCTTACCCGCACCCACCCACCTAGGCTGGTGGCTCCTTTACCTGCAGAAGAGGTGGGCCCAGGCTTCCATGGGTACCTACCTGGGCATACAGATTCTGCTGGGGGTAGGCACTTCTGATTGGATACATGGCCGTCTGATAGGGGTTGGGTGATGGGGAGTAGGGGGGCGGAGCAGTATTGCTCTGGGTCGGTGGGACCTTGTATGGTGTCCCCGCAGTATATCCTGTACCAAGGCAATAAGAGAGACTTCCAGTTAGTTGGCAGAACAGCATCACTGGAAGACAGCAGGTCCCAGTCATGACTCCCCCGATAAGAATGGGCTGAATCCAGGCTGGAAACACAGATGAGAACAGAGGACAGGGCTCCACCCTGAGAGCCCTGGCCCCAGAAGCAGCTCCCTCAGTCCTGGTGCACAGGGCTGCATGTGTGATTCTGGCATCTTTTATTTCTCTGGGTCTCAGGGCTCTCATCTGTGAAAAAACAGATGGAACCAGGTGACCTCTTAAGGGACCCTTGCAGCTCAGACAGTCTGGGCTTCTGAGCTACAGAGGGAAGAACCTCAACCTGCTCGCTCTTTATTGCACTATCTTCCTGCTGCTTCTTCTCCTTGTAAGTTCCTAGGATACCTTCTGCTGCTGTTCTGTCTTTCTGTCTTGCTTCTCCCCTTACTCTATGTTTCCCCCTCATATCTCTCTCCTTCCACCATATTCCTCTTCCTCCCTGCCAAGTTTTAAGGTGAAAACTCCATATAAAACACCATTCAGAGACCCTCAACTTCAGAGACACTAAAAAACTTCGCTCTACAGAGCTGACTTTTCCTCTCCTCCTGGGGCTTGGTGGCCGCCTCTGCCCGAGGGCCTGCGGTCAGGGATCTCACAGGTCCCCATCAACTTGGCATCCAGGCCACTCGGGTAGCTCAGCAGGGCAGACAAAAGCTGGGGGTGAGGCTGAGAAGTCAGGTCCCAAGAAACTCACAATCAGCCATTCAAACAAACTGTGATGCCTCTGAATCTTCTGGAAAAGAGAATGCAACTCTACGTTCACAGGATAAACGTGACACGTGCCATTGCACAGGCGCACGAACCCCAAAATGAACGACTGCGCAGAACTCGAGGGTCTACGCAAGGGGACCTGGGGCTCGGCACAGGCCAGCCTGTAGAGGAAACTTCTCCTTTCTGAGTGAAGGGACAGTGCTGTCCTGCCACCCCCTTCTCAGCCCACATCACAGCTCCGCCTCGGGGGGCCCCCATGTCCCCAGTAAGTCAGTAGGATATGGGAGTCACCACAAAGGCACCATAAAATGTGTCCTTTACTCTCTCTGGAATTATCTTTCCACCTGGAGGTAAACAGCTGGCTCCATGAGAAACCCACTTTGTGGTCAGATTCACTTGGGAAATAAGTAGCAATGAAGACGGCGTGGGAAGAGCACGTTAGAGAGAAGGGAGCACGGACAAGAACCGGAAAGCAGCCAGCAGGGGCGATGCAAGTCGGCTGGGGGAGCAGCCCCTGGCAGGCTCCTCCCGTTTCTCACCTGTGGAGCTAATCACAAGGGGTGGCCATGTGATGAAAAGCAGAAACTAGGGGAGACACAGGGAATCTAGGTTTGCAGACATCTAGAAGGAGCCATCTGAGGGTTACTTCACCTCAGAGATGCAGTTTTATCTGTAAAGCAAAGGGGGCTGGGCATGTCCCAAGAGTATACAAGGAACGCCGAAGGATCTTAGTCATTGTTTAAAAAAAAAAAAAAGAAAGAAAGAAAGAAAGGAAGCAGCAGCAATGTAAAACAGAGATAAATAGTTTGTTTTTGTCTGTTTTTAATTTAATTAATTTATTTTTTAGAGAGAAGGGAAAGGAGGGAGAATGAGAGGGAGAGAAACATTGATCAGTTGCCTCCCACACACCCCCTACTGGGGACCTGGCCTGCAACCCCGGCATGTGCCCTTGACTGGGAATCGAACAAGCGACCTTTCAGTGTGCAGGCTGGCACTCAATCCACTGAGCCACACCAGCCAGGGCGGTTGGTTTGTTTTGTAGTCTATGACCCTGAGAAGTTTTAAAATGATAGGATGAACTATGAATCTCTAAGACAGGGACATAACAGGAGACTATTCTCAATTTATTTTACCCCAGAATCTTTTATTCATACCATTAGCATTTAAACCAGGCAAACTGCAGTTTTTGGTAACTGGAGCCTGTATGGGTAAATAAAGTTTTACAGTAACACAGCCACACCTGTTCACTTACACATTGACTATGGCTGCTTTCCTGCTACAATGGTAGTTCTAACAGAGACCATATGGACCAAAAAGCCTAAAATTTTTATTATCTTGCCGACTCATGATTTAAGAGGATACAACAGGGTATGAGGAGTCCTGCCAGAGTGTACAGCATCTCTCCTCTGCAGGACAGCAGGACACCCCGAGCCCTGAGATGCCTGTCTCTGAAAGCCACCCAGCACGGCCTACAGTGATGGCCTTCAGCCAGACCAACTGCCTGGGCCCGAACCCCAGCCCTGCTGCTTGACAGCTGTAGAGTGGATCAGTCTCCTCACCAGGAAAGTGGGAGAAGGGTGTAAAAACAGTACCCACTTCATAGGGTTACTGCGATAAATTCAGGAGTAAGTGCAAAGCCTTTAGAATAGTGCCTAATACGTTAAAAGCACTACATAAGGTTTGCTTTTATTCTTTTTCTCTGACCATGTAGAGAGATAGTGAGCTTCTGGTCCTGGGGGTGTCCAAACAGAGACTGGTCTGAAAGACTCTAGGAGATTGGGCATTAAACTATGATTTCCATGGTGTGATCCAACTTGAAACCCAGAGTCCAAGATTCTAAGATTCTAAAATTTTATGGTCTAAAATGCCATTGTTTTATGATTCTTTAAGGGTAAGAGGCCAGCAGTGCTGGTGACTCTCCTTTCTGCTCCCCGAGAAGGCGCTCTGGAGTTCTGATCCCCGGGGGAAGCTGGCACGTCTCCACGCCACAAGGACAACCATCCCATACCGCGCTGAGATCATCCCTCCGACAAAAATCAAAAGGCTCCAAGAGACTGTGGTAGAATTCGATTTCCACATCTAAGAATAACCTTGTCTGAGACTGTTTCCCTTTTTTCATGTTATGAAATGAAGACACACACATACTCAGAATACAAATCAGTAGCCAAAACATCCCTGGCAGCCAAACTGATGATGCTGCAGAAGGCCTGGCCTGTTCGTCCAGACAGTCCGAGAAGGGAGAAGCAGACGCAGAGCTAGACAGGATCTCTGAGATCATCAGGACCGACGCACGGCTCACAGATGAGGTATGATCAGGTGCCGAGAGAGCGAGCAACTGCCCGCGAGGACTCAGGACTCAGTGCTCCTTCCTCTATCTGCAGTGGTTCCCACAGTTACCACCTGTGTCCGAAGGCTGCAGAAGCTGCCCGGGACCCCCGTCCTGGGCCCTGTCACCATGAGTCAGGTCAATTATTACCTCAAGAAATGCCCTCAGTTGGACTAGATGACATCAGAGGGATCTTTCCAATGCTGACATTCTGAGTACTTCACTGAAATTTTTATGAGGAAATCACCGCAGAGGACTTCCCACAACTGAGTGGCGGTCCTGTTCATACCCTTGAGGATCACTGGAAAATCCCCTGGGCTGTGGCCTGGGCTACCTTCAAGGTCATTACTTGGTGCATCTAAGTAAAAAAAGCTATTGGGTGTGATGCAAAAAAACCTCACCCATTTTGCTCAAATGTACAGGCTCAACTCACTCGTGGGAGGCCTGACTCTCTTTAAAGGAGTTGTAGCTAAGTCTGAAGGTCACAGAGTGAGGTCTCTGGAATACTATGCCTTAAGGATATGACAGACTTGAATTCAATGCTCTCTGCTTCAGAGGAGAACCTGGAGCCTGGAGGGGCAGAGACTTCCCCTGAATTGCACAGCAAATCAGTGCAGAGCTAGGCCCAGAGTTAGGGGCTCACCGTGCCCTGGGCAGAGCTCCTCTCTGAGCTGTGGGTCTCTGCCGTCCAGTCTCGGGCATTCGGTGCATCAGCCCTTGTGTCACCATTTCACTAAGGGCAGTATCATGAGGGAAAAAGGACTTTGATCACCAGAAGTCCCAGCTTTGCCTTAAAAGAGGATTTGTTTATGACACCCTTTTCTTTCTCTGAGGTTCCTAACCGTAACTTTAGGCTCTATCACACAGGACAATAAAAAGAGTGTATACATTAGGGAGGGAAAACCCTTCAGTCCCCTCGCAGTCCTTCTGCACCATCATAAATCTGTTTCCGCTGTAGAGCCCTCACACCTTCAAAGGCATTGATCCTTACATCAAGGATGCCTTCTGGACTAATTGGTTTATTGACCATTAGATTTATATGTCTGGACAAAGCCCTGTGTCTGATTTTCGCCTTGACCCTCAAGTCTCCTTGTTAGTAGCTGAACAAGAGGGTGCTGAATAAGTAGGAGGGAGACCTAATTACAAACAGGCTTAGCAAGTGTTGGTGAAATTGAACTGAATTTATCCGAGTGCCCTGAATTTTCTGTGGCATTATAAACCACAAAATCTGTGTGCCAGGAGGAACCCTGATGGCTATGGGAGGGTCAGTCAATCCCAGCTCTATTTAAAATTGTGCTGGTGGACATATCACTTGCTTAAAAGAGAGGGGACTGTGATAACCTGCGAGAGGGCAGCAGGATGTAGCTGCTGGACATTTCAATGGGAAGGCAGGAAGATTTCGACACAGAAGGCAAGGCCTTCTGAAAATACTCACGAGTTCCTCACTGTGGAAAGGGTTGCCTCTGGAGGGAATGAGCACCCCACACCTGGAGATGTGTGAGCAAGGCTGGTGGACCAGCTACCGGTCAGGGCAGCTCAGGAGGTCCCTGCTGGAATGGAGGGTCCTGAGTACACAGCACCAATGGGACAGATTCAGGAGTCTACTAATTGGACAGAACCTTAAAAGATGACCTTATTTTACAGCTGGAAAAACCGAGGTCCAAAGCATGGAAAGGAATCACACACAACCAAATCTAGAATCCAACACTTTCGGCCTTCCATTCCAGGCCTCTCTGTGCTGCGCTACAGCAGACGCGCCCACGTGCTACAGGCCCCTGTGTGTGCCCATTCACATGCATAACGCCACAGGTGCCTGGGAGCACTTCCTGCTGCTGCCGCAGCATCCTCTGAAGAGTACAGTCAGTCTCATGAAAAAGACAGTGATGGCAGCTTAAACTGTGGGGTGCCTTTTTCTAGTTGCACTGCTTACTAGTTGGATGGCAAAAGGTATATTACCTTTCTGGGCCTCAGCTTTCAAAATAAAATAAAAATCCATACAAGTAATAGGACGAAGGTGTAGATTAAAGGAGAGGGCGATTATGAAAGCATGTTGTCCAAAAGGGAAGAGGTATGTTATATATAAATACAAGGTGATGCTGACATCTGGGAGCAGAGATAACTAAGAAGAAAATAACAGTGGGTATTTTAAAGAAAAAAAACATGTTATTCTTCTGATCTACTTACTTAATGGACTAATGATCCACTGAATCACACACTCTGGGGCCTAGTCTGCAATGTCCCCCAGTCCCTCTCCAGCCCCTGCTGGCACCACCTCAGAGACAGGCACTCATCACGTCTAAAGCCAGCCACTCCTCTTCTGGTCCGCTCCAACAAGGCAACGAGCACAGTCAAAATGCCACTCAGTAATTTCTAAACTTCGGTCCTCATTTTACCAGTGGAGCTATTTTGTGCTAAAAATCAGATTTGAGGGCAAACCATCAGTCACCTCACGGAGCGTCAAGACGAGTGTGACCAACATGACTGGCCAGATGGCTTCTGTCCCCCCTGAAGACTCCAGGTACCTGCTTTACTCCCATAGCATCGCTTCCACAAGGATGGCATTTCTTACTCGAGGGGCAATCCGGCCTCCCAGAGGGTATTTAGCAACGTTCAGAGACATTTTTGACGGCCATAATGAGGTGTGCTACTGGCAACCAGCGCGCAGAGGACAGGGGTGCTGCCAAGCACCTCACAACGCTCAGGAGAGCCCCTCACAGAAAGCATGCTCCGCCCGGACACCCGCAGCACCGAGGCTGAGGAGCCCTGCGCTGGCGGGAGGAGCCCTCTCTGTCTGAAGGTCCATGGGCCAGTGTTCAGTGTCCCCTCTGTCCGTTCCCTTGAAATGCAGTAACAGCCCCTCCCCCACCAAACCTGTCGGGGGCTGAGCACGTCCTTCCCCGTCAGTCACTGCTTTGTGTCCCCCCAAAGCCGCTGTGGGGTCAGAGGACGACCTTTCCTGTGTGAGGGCAGCCCATTCTGGGGTGGGTGAGAGAACCTCTTAAAATAGTATCTTACAAATGTCACTTTTAAAACTCCCTTTCCTTTCTTCCTAAGAGACGCATCAGTCCCAGCCAAAGGGAACAAGGAAAGGAGGAGACAGGCTGTATTTACTGAAAGCCGCAGAGGACGCTTGGTAAGTTCGGTTCTCGGTCCCGGTGTCCACGGGGAGGTGGAAGGTGCCTTCAGTGCCACAGGAGGACGAGTTCTGTGGCCAGGCCTGTTTCATCAGCAGAGTTGCTTAAGGGAAGACACAAGAACGGTATTAGGCAGAAATAAGAAGTGGGCACCACAATCACAGACACAAAGCGAGGGGCCCTGTTCAGAAATGCACAGGACAGCCCAGCCTTTCCGGGCTCGGGGGGTGGGTGAGGGGAGTGCTGGTGTGAGCTTCTGCAGGGTCTGAACCTGGGACATCTGAGCTCACACTAAGTCAGGAGAGTCAGAATTTTCTGCCCACCACAAAGCCCAAGAAGATGCCTATGAATACTGCCTCCTACCGTGTGACATTCTGGCCTAAGGCTCTGGAGTATTCCTTAGCCGCTCTCTTGTGAATGCGTAGCAACTTGGAGCCTTTGACTGTACATTGGGCCAGATCAACTGAGTACTCTTCTTTTATGCCCGAAAGCTCATCTGGAGGTGCAGTTAACACGTTGCTTTCAAAGACAGACCCTGAAATAATTACCACATGACATGGACCTTCCTGGACTCCCATCTATCCTAAAGGGACTGGGCTCTGGAAGCTCAGGAGGCCCATGCAGGCCAGCGGGGCACTCCCTGTGCACTCCTTCTGTACGCCCAGCTGGGGTGGACAGCCAAACCTCTCGCACACCCTTTACACCTTCTGCTGAGGTGCTCCTGGAGCCTCCCTCATTTGGAGATGGATATCTTCTCATGAATCAGAGATGATCTTTTGGGCCATTAAGAGAGTAAATGTCAAACTTGAGGTAGTAGTGAAACACACGAGGCCCAGTTTCAAAGTATTCTACAGAGCGGACTCAAAGCTCAGCTTGAAACATTTGAAGGATGATGCTTCATATGTTCTAGAAGTGGGGAAGAACTCAAAGAAACTTACCTTCATGGTATCCTGTGGGGAAGGAGAGAGGAAATAGGGTTTCAAAGGGGGGAAATGCCTAACATTTTAGATATTTCCCTTGACATACTTTCAAACACTACAAGAGAAACATTTTTGACCCAAACTGCTACATAGGGAAAGAAAAAGATTTTAATGGTATCTTTTCCATTCAAATAAGGTCTTGGGAGTCATGGACATGGGGTATTTCAGAGTATATTAGAAGGAGGTGGGGCTGCACTGGCAATAGTTAGATGTGCTTGAAACGTTTTAACAAGGGGCTAGGGTGAGACAGGGTGTGATGAAGAGGAAGTGTGCCTGTGTACCCTAATTCCACCAGAACGAGGGCGGTGCACCTCCAGGGAGATCCGTGACCCCCTGCGCCAGTGACAGGTGACGCCTCTGGTTCCTTCCATCATGAAGGTACCGCGCCCAGAGAAGAAAGTCAAGGACTGCCATTTTTATTGATTCAGTGCTAGAAATGTAGCTGTTGTGGGCTGACTCCGTGCTAGCATCAATGGCCTGCAATTTATACAGCAGATGCCAAGAAATGAGAAGAAAATCGTGGGCAGGGAAGTGACACTGAAAGGAGAATTCTGGCAGAAGAAACGGAGACCCTGCAGAACTCCCTGCAGAGTCCACGGCCTTGGCTGGACATCGAGACATGGCTGTGCAGACAATGCAGGATGAGGGCGGTCAGTTTTAAACAATTATCTTAGGTTTCTTTTTCTGGGACTGGTGTGTGCGAGGGTGAGTAGGGATTGGGGATTAATAAGGGATCCAATTAGTGTTGAAAATCTTATCAAGACGTCTCCAAATTTAGAACCTGCCCCTCCATGTGGCCGAACAGCCCTGCCCACCCAAAGCAGCTCCCTCAAAAGTGAAACATGTGTCTCTGGTAAGTCAGACAGAGCCAACCCATGCCCTCCAGACCCCACAGGGACCAGCAGGACGTCTAAATTTGGCTGCAGAGCATTTGGAGAATCTGGAGGTCCAGTTCCGGTCCAGCTGTTTCCCCAAGTTGTGCATACTTTACCATAATTTTCATCATAAGCCAAAAGTCTGGCATTGGCCTGAAGGACTGTGCAACAAAGTAAGTACATCAGAATTAACCAAAGAGTGACTGAGGCCTACTGTGCTCAGCACTGAGGGGAGCGCCACGGTGGACAGGAACACATGTAGGTCATGGTCACCGCACACAGGGTACTTATGGTCTAGCTGGGGATGCAACACAGCCATGCGCCAGCCAGAGAGTGAACAAGACAGCAACACGCACGGTGAACTAACGTTCCAGGTCAGCCAGGAGAGAAGCAAGTGTGACTGTGCCTTTGAGTATGTCTTTCCCAAGTGATCAAGTGAACTAAACTACACATGTTCCTGAAGAAGTTATCTTCTTCTGGTCTCACTATAAAGAAACAAATATTAGTATTTTCTATGTTTCTTTATATATTTGAATACTTAACAATTTAAATAACAGGATAAATAGGAAGACTAAAAACAAGAATATCAGCTGTGAACCTGACTCCCTTGTTAGTTAGCTGTACCACACGATCTTCCTCCTCCATGTACGATTCTAAAAGAACCCGTTCTGCTGGTGGTGGCGCCTCGGAGTTCAGCTGTGGGGCAGCGGTGACCCAACTGAACCGGCAGAGGCGTGGCGCCAGAGGAGGTTGCAGGACCACATGTTTGCTTCCTGGGTGCCACGAAAGGTACCGACGCCTATAAATGTTTCTACATTTTGAACTGGATGACAGTTAAATGCAAGTGTATACGTATGTCGAATATTATTGAGCTGTACATTTGAGACTAGTGCACTGCATGTACTATAGTGTATGTGTTACTCCTCAATTTAAAGGAAGAGAGAGGACGAACCCTGGGAAGTGAAGGGCCACGGTCCAGTCACAGCGTGCTGCCCACATCCAGGTGCTGGGTTGTTCACGTCTCTGGACACGGCACCCTCACACCCTCTGACACTTAAACAGTCTGTTAAGCACACTTACAAGGAGAAGAGGCAGCAAGGGACCATCATCCTGAACAATGCAGTAAGTCAGGAAATCTGAAAGCTGGCCTGGGCTGTGCCACTTATTAACTGTGAGAACTTGGGCAAGTCACCACCTTTCCACATTCAGTTTGTTGTCTCACAAAATGGCAATAACTGTGACTCCCTGTTCACTTCATAGTATTAATGCGGGGACCAAAAGCAGAGGGTCATCCAGTTTTACAGTTTCTAACCCTGGTCTCTGTCTACTCTTCTGCTCTCACAGCCGTGGACAGCTCTAGTTTAAGCACTTGTCTCTCACCTGAACTGTTGCACCTGCTTCCTCACTGTCCTGTGTGTTGTTAAACCTGCTGTAATCTCTAAACTGTACTCAGAGTGACATTTCTAAGACCTAAACCTAATCTCGAAACCTTTCTTGAAAACATTCAGTGGTTGTCCACTGCCTGTAGCCTGAAGGCTGAACTGCGTGTGGCATTCACAGCCCCCCATGATCTCGTCCTATGATCTCCTCTCTGGACTCCCGCCTTGTTCTCACTCTTCAACCGCGTACTACTGCCACATGAACTGTTTACCATTCCCAGAAGATGCCCAAGGAACGTCATGTGTCTGTACTTTTGCTCACAATGCTCATTCCTCCTGGTCTAGTCTTTCCCCAAATGCTACCTGGCAAACACTTATTAATTCATCCATCGTCAGGAGCTGAGGACTCATCTATCTATATGATGAAGGTTTTTCTTTTCCCCACCCCTTGACCACAAAGCCTCCTCATAGATCCCATATGGTCCACCATCCCTATCCCTATAATTCTTAGAAGCTGGCTTCTTTGTCTTCCCCACTAAACTGTGAGCTCCTTGAAAATAGGGACCCTGTCTTACTAGTCTTGGATATTCAAAAGGGCCAGCTTAGGGCCTGGCACAGAACTATGGATGCTCTAACTGGAGGGGGAAGAAGCACGAGAGCTTGTCCCCCTTTTTATAGAGTCTTCTGTCCAAATTCATACAGCCTGATGCAAACAAAAGTGACTCTCCATAAAGGATAGGAGGAACAAGTCTGTAAATAGCAAAATTGAAATAATAAAAGTACCCCTGGCCAATGTGGCTCAGTTGGTTAGAGCATCACCCATAGACCAAAAGGCTGTGGGTTCAATTCCCAGTCAGGGCACATGGGGGTGGGTTCAATCTCCAGTTGGGGTGTGTACGAGAAAGCAACCAATCGATGTTTCTCTCTGACATCAATGTCGATCTCTATCTCCCCCCCACCCCCAGCAATGGGAAAATGTCTTCAGGTGAGGAAAAACATATTATAATTATAAGAGGACAGGCTGGTCACATTTAAAGGGACCTCAGAACTCATCTGAATGAAATACATTATCTATGGCCTGCAAACATTAGCAAATTGCCCAAGATCACGCAGTCCACAGCAGTGAGCGACAAAGAAAAATTTTCACAGTTCACCTCCTGAAAGATGTGCCAAACACAAATTCAATATTCATCATTCAAATAATTTAAAGTCAAAAGTTGAGAAGGTGTGCGGAAATTTTTCAAAAATGTTGTCCTAAGCAGCCCAGGTGAGGGTGGTGAAAGTGACAAATCCCTCCCATGGTCCCTTCCTGTCTATGACAAAGAGGACCTAATCAAGTTACACTGCTGGGACCCTCACAGGTGCCCAGAAGTTCCTGTGGTGCCTTGGGCCTGGAGTCCACACTGCCCAGAGAACCCTTTCCTGGTCCCTCGCTCATTTTAGCACACTTGACCCTCATCTCTTTCCAACCAGGAAAATGCCCTGAAAAAGATCCAGAGCTCCAGGTCTGGGCTAAGGAAACAGACTGTATCTCTAGTCAACCAGGTCTTCAAATATCTCAGACTGCCGACGGAGGCATAACCCAGTACTCCTCCGAGGGGCTGCCACAAAGCCAGCAGGGGAGCCATACAGGCTCAGGAAGTTTTGTTCACTGGTTTGAATTCAGCAGCCAGGTCAGGGTGAAGTCTCTGACCCAGGTCAGAGCGGGACCCCGGAGGTGAGGAAGGGTAAACGCCTTTTAGTGCCATGATCCTTCACTGCCACCCTAGGGGACGGTTCATGTGTGTCTCCAACCCATGATTTTGCACCATCAGACATGTTCCTGCATGCTTTAGGAACTGCTGCTGAGCCACCTGGGGGAGCCCAAGCCTAGGGGATGGGATTTGGGGAGGAAAGGGGAAGGGATCTACCATTGTTACGAGATAACACATTCATAGGCCATAATACATATGAGGAAAAATAGCTCTCCTACCATAAGCTGAATGCAGGAACTGAAACTCTGTTGGATAGAAATGTTAGTTGAAATTACCACTAAGAATTTGTGCAAAGTAGTACACATTGCAGTTACAAAACAGACTCTGTCTCAAGTTAGCAGTTTACCCCAAGCCACATAAGAAACACAATGCAGAGGGTGTGAAGTGCCTCTAGCCTGGAAGGGAGCGACAGACTTGCCATCCAGAAAAGCCCATTCACTGAGGAGGGGCGCCTGGGAGGCAGCGGACCCAGAAGCCGCCCGTACAAGAACAAGCCCAAGCTCCCGCTCTCTGTTTGTCCACGCTGAGAGTAAATTTCAATTCTCCCAAGTACTGCAGAGAGACTTCACACATGACAAAGATTTTATGTGCTAGAGGACATGAAGATTCAGGGACAAAATCATCATTTTGGCCTCTGAAGAGTTCTCTATAAGGCCCCAGAGAGCTAGGACCAATGCAAAGGCACTTCATTCCCTGAGGCCTCTGGGAAAATGTGGTGCGGTGGGAGGAGCACAGGCAGTGGGGGTCCGACAGGCTGGGTTTGAATCCCAGTTCCACTGCTTTTTAGCTGAGACATTTTGGACAAGTTATTTAACCTCACTGAGCAAAATCGGAAGCAAAAAGCTCTAACTTCCAAGACAAGGTGAAAATTAATGTCTGTGACACGCCTTGCACAGAGACGGGAAGGTGGCAGGTGTTCAGGAAACAGAGATCCTTTCCTTGGTCTCTCCCTGGACTGTTATATGTCAAATGAGAATAACAGATTTGTACTTTACAAGGCTGCTATGAAATCAACTGAGACAACAGATATAAATGATTTATAAACAGATTTCTTGTGAGACAGTATTTCATTCTTCCCTATATTAGTTATCCTACTTCCCTTCTCCTTTCATTTTCAAGTCAGATTACCATTAATCTGACACATCCTTCGCTCTCTAGATTCTGAAAACAAATCCCAGTTGGCTCCTGCCTCGTGGGGGCCAAATATTTCTTAACTAAGGTCCCTGAAGTCAGAATTAAGAACTAAGAGCTTGGGGAAAAGCTCCAAGTACCTACATTGCCTTCAGAACCAATGAAATGTTTCCCTGCACCCTGGATAGTTGACATATCAGGGTACTCAAACTGCTGAAAATAACTCTCTGAAGCAACTTTTTGGTCTCCTTGACGCAGCTGAGAGGAATTTAAAACCCGAGGGCCTAGCTCCTTTGCAGGTTTCTACCCCGCAGGCAACTCTGGACATCACAAACGGCAGGCTCTGGCAGGAAGCTGAAAGTGATCTACAGTGTCACCTCTGTCCTCAGGCGGAGTTCCTCTCCAGCAGGCGCTCCCCCACTGCAGCCAGGAGGCCCGGTGAGGTCAGAGGCCAGCCTCCCCATATATTCGACAGACCAGGTGTGTATACCTGCTACAACCCTGATCTTCCAATTCCCAGTTTGGGGCTTTCTGACACTATGAGCTAACACTACCCTCTCTAATGGATTTTGTGTTTCTGAGAAAATGGTCTGGGTTGGTTTAGTCATAGCTTAGAAATATGTTGACTTTTCAAAATACAAAATTGAAGAAAATCAAGCTTGATGAGGGCTGATATTAAGTTTGTTTTAAAATGAAAGCTTAATCAGTACTTTACATATGCCAGGAGCTTTCCAATCTCTGTTCCCTACCCCCGCTCCCCAGTCTCAGCCTCCTCCGGTGTGCTCTCCCTTCCCTTTCTGGTCTGGTTGCTCTCGCCTAATCCCCAGTTTCTCTGGCCACTGGCCACATCCAGGTGTGATGCAGTGGTTAAGAGCACATGCAGGTGTGGTGGCAGGATGCCTGGATTGGATCCTGTGCTGGTTCCCAAACTTCCAAAGTTTTAGTTTTCCCAGTTGGAAAATGGATTAACAACAGTACTCAAAGTTTGTTGAGATATAAAACAAGTTAATATCCATAAAGTGCTTAAAATATTCCACGGCACATAGGGACCATTCAACAAATATTAGCTATTTATTCCCCATCCTCTACTTTCTTGCCATACTAATCCTAAAACGATTCTCTCCCCACAAGCTCTGGACATCACGAGAAAATATCCCAGGGCTGGGGAACAGTCTTGACAGACTCCTGGCCTCCGTTCTCAGTTGGGCCCCCAATGTTATACGCCTCCTGCTTTCTCCCTCAAGTCTCTACCGCCTGCCCCTCTGTGAAGCCTCCCCTACACTTACGATCTCAGGCTGACTGTTGTTCCCTCTTCTGCTTCCTCTCCCCTTACATGTACACCTTCTGCAACACTACGACACTGCACAGCCATGAATCTGTTTCTATGCTAGCTCCCAGATGGACTGTAAGCCACTGAGGCAAAAGTGTCATCCTTTCTTTTTTTCTATCCCAGTGTGGGAGACATTCAACAAATAAATCCTTGCAGCGTAAACGAAGAACTTGCATAAAACCATCTACAACTCTGATTTCTCAGACATGAGGTAACTTGTCCAAGGCCTCACGACGAGTGAGTCGAGTAATCAGCATTCAAACCCAGTCTCACGGCAGAGCCCACGCTCTTTCTCCTGCCCCCTGAGTGTTAGAGCACCGGCTGAGTGTGGGAATGAAGATCTGTGAGAAGACCTCTGTACTGCTCCTAGCCCAAACTAGAACAAACTTTTTCAACATTTCCAAACCCATTTCAACATCCAAGGAGTATTGGGTCTTTATTATTTTTAAAAAACAACTTCCTTGCTTCAGCTTGAAAACCAGCTCTTTATCCACTGGTGGCAAGTCTCTCACTTCCAAATTCACACCCAGAAGGTAAGTCTGCTGTGTGTGTGTGTGTGTGTGTGTGTGTGAGAGAGAGAGAGAGAGAGAGAGGGAGAGAGAGAGAGAGAGAGGGAGAAATTGACTGATTCTCAATGACACCCTCAGGGGCAACTGAGCAAAGAATGGATTTGGACATTATTAGGGAAAGCAGAAAAGGTTCTGTGAGGAGGATGCATGTCTCAGACATTCCAATAAAGGAGAGATGGGTCAACCTTAAGTCCCAAGTGGAATGGAGAAGATTTTATTCCTGCCCCCACCCTAAGGCTGAATTGCCCCAGTTCCCAGGGGCAACTCCCAGGAGAATCACACTTGGACAAGCTGAGCCCAGAGCAATTAAGGACAGAGAAAGGCCAGCAGGTGGGTTTGCTTTTCCAAATATAACAAACCCTACCTCCCACCCCACTCACCACTATTCTCTCCACGTTCTCCTTACCTGGAGCATAACTGGGGCTATTAGTGGGGTACAGGCTGGGATTGTAGGCAGGGGCCGCTGCTGGGTAGGCTGTGGGGTAACCTACAAAAAGACAAGAAAAGCTCCATTTAGTTAGGCAAAAAGAAAAGCAAATTTCTGAGGAAACAGAACCAGGTCCCAGGCTTGGTCTTCATCCTCTTCATGGGCCATTTCAGACAGTATATGTGACTAGCTTTTACCCTCTCAAGAAAAAAGTTGCCAACACCACAATCCTAACACATGCAGATCCCCTGTCCATTAAAAAAAAAAAAAGCTAGAAATATATGTTTATATGCTCACTGTAAAAATATTGAAACAACAGAGACATGTGTATGGTAAAAAGTGTAAGTTTACTTTACATCCCTGACACACATTCTTCTCCCCAGTGGTAGTAACGGTGTGGCATCTCTCCTTCCAAACAGTTTTCTGTGGAACTTTATACACATATACTCAGTGTGGGCTGGTACTTAATGACTGGCTTGAGGGAACTGAGGTGAAGCTCTGTTTTGTAGGCTTTGCCAAGGTCCATAGTATAAAAACTCCCACCTTGGCCAACATCACTGAGTGAGTAGCTGGGGAAAGATTCTCACAATTGGTTTGAGAACCCACACACACCTGATATACCCCACAATGCATATTTTATACCATGTTTTGTGAGTTTTTTTTGAAATTTTTTATTGTGGCAAAGTATATGTAACAAAATTTGTGATTTTAACCATTTTAAGTGTATCTTTCAGTGGTATTAATTAGATTCACCATGTTGTACAACCATTCCCACTAAGTGTTTCTAAAACGTTTTAAAAAAAGATTTTATTTATTTATTTTTAGAGAGGGGTGAAGGGAGGGAGAAAGAGAGGAAGAGAAACTTCAGTGTGTGGTTGCCTCTCAGGTGCCCTCTACTGGGAACCTGGCCCACAATCCAGGCATGTGCCCTTACTGGGAATCGAACCAGTGACCCTTTGGTTCGCAGGCCAGCACTCAATCCACTGAGCCACACCAGCCAGGGCATGTTTCTAAAACTTTCTAATCACACCCAAACAAAACCTCTGTACCCTTTAAGCAATAACTTCCCATTCTCTCTCCCTATAGCCCCTTGTTAACCTCTAATCTACTTTGTCTCTATTAATTTGCCTATTGTAGATATTTTACATAAGCAAAATAAAATAGTACAATTTGTCCTTTTGTGTCTGGCTTCTTTGACTTAGCATACTGTTTTCAAGTTTCATCAATGTTGTGGCAGGTATCAGAACATCATTCCTCTTCATGGCCGACTAACATTCCATTCTATGTTTATGTTACATCTTATTTACCCTCCCATCTGTTGATGGGCACGTGGGTTTCTTCTGCCTTTTGGCTACTGTGGACAATGGTCCTATGAACATTAGGATACAATCCTTGTTGAGTCCTGATTTCAGTTCTTTTGGGTACATACTGAGAAGCAAAGTTGCTGTCATATGATAACTGTATGTGTAGCTTTTTTGAGGAATCATCACAGTGGCTGCACGATTCTGTATTCCCACAAGCAATACATGAGGTTTCCAATTTCTCCACATCCTCATCAACACCTGTTATTTTGATTATACACATCCTAGTAGGTTAAAGTGGTATTTCATTGTGGTTTTTTAAAAAATTATATATTTTTTTATTATGCTATTATAGTTGTCCTAACTTTTCCCCCCTTTGCCCCCTTCCATCAAGCACCTCCACTCCCTTGGGCAATCCCCAAATCACTGTTCATGACCATGGGTCATGCATATAAGTTCTTTGGCTGCTCCATTTCCTGTGTTGTACTTTACATCCCCATAGCTATTCTGTAACTACCTATTTGTGCTTAATCCCCTCACCTCTTCACCCATTCCCTCACACCCCCCTTCCCATCTGGCAACCATCAAAACGCTCTCTGTATCCTTCATTCTGTCTCTGTTCTTCTTGTTTGCTTAGTTTGTTTTTTAGATTCAATTGTTGATAGATATGTATTTTTCCCATTTTATTGTTCATAGTTTTGATCTTCTTTTTCTTAAGTCCCTTTAACACTGCACATAATAATGGTTTGGTGATGATAAACTCCTTTAGTTTTTCCTTGTCTGGGAAGCTCTTGATCTACCCTTCGATTCTAAATGATAGCTTTGCTGGGTAGAATAATCTTGGCTGTAAGTCTCTGCTTTTCATGACTTTGAATATTTCTTCCCAATCCCTTCTGGCCTGCAAAGTTGCTTTTGAGAAATCAGCTGACAATCTTATACGGATTCCTCCATAGGTAACTAATTACTTTTCTCTTGCTACTTTAAGATTCTCTCTTTATCTTTAACCTTTGGCATTTTTTATTATGATGTGTCTTGGAGTGGGCCTGTTTGCATCCATCTTGTGTGGGACTCTCTGTACTTCCTGAAGTGGCATGTTTATTTCCTTTACCAAATTAGGGAAGTATTTTTTTATTATTTTTTCCAATAGTTTTCCAATTTCTTGCTCTTTCTCTTCTCATTCTGGCACCCCTATAAGAAAGTTGGAACGCCTGAAGTTGTCCCAGAGGCTGCTTACACTATTCTCATTTTTTTGAATTCTTTTTTTCTTCTTATTCTGATTGGTTATTTTTTTCTTCCTCATGTTCCAAATCATTGTTTTGATCCTCAGCTTCATCCACTCTACTGTTGTTTCCCTGTAAATTGTTCTAGGTCAAAAGACAGTGCTATTTTTAAATTTCATCCATTCAACAAATATCTGAGTATGCACTCTGTGTCAGACACTATGACCCCTGCCCTTGTGGAGCTTAGATTCTAAGAGGTTGTGAAAGGAATAAATAAATAGTAAATATAAACAAACACAGTCTTAAGTGCTAGGGAAAAGAGAAAAAGGGCAGGGTAAGAGACATTGGAAGTGCCACAATGCTGTGGGGGGCAGGCATTGCAATATTAAATAAGGTAGCCAGCATAAGATACAATGAGAAGGTAAGATTTTCACAAAGACTTGAAGGGAACAGAGTTAACCAGCAGATGGCTGAAAAGACAGCAATACAAAGGGAACAGTCAGTGCCACGGCCCGAAGTTCTGAGCATAGGGGACATGTCTGAGGACCAGCAAGGAGGCCAGTGTGGCCGACGTGGACTAAGTGAGGGGGACAGTAGTAGAAGTCAGAGAGATAAAGGGCTGGTCAGTTCATGACTGAACTTATAGGTTAAAGTTACAGTAACTTATAGGTTATAGGTTAAAGTTATAGGTTACTGTAACTTTAATTTTCTCATGGGGTTTTGAGCAGAATAACATGATCTGACTTATGTTTCAAAAGGGTCATTCTGATTGCTGTACTGAAAACAGACTGAAAAAGGGTAAGGGTCGAGACGCACACAGGCTATTGTAAACCTCTGTCAATAGATGATGAGGCTCAGATTGGGGCTATAGCAGCAAAGGTGACAAGAAGTGACATGCTCAAGAGTCTTCACATACTTTGCCACACTACTTTCTAGAAAAACTATTGATTTGTACTTGCACCAGCAATGTGTAAGTGCCTGTCTCACTGCTCCCTGTAGTTTTTAATGTTCACTGGTATTTTGACTGACAATGAAAAGCAGATTTTAAAAGTCAAAGATTAAATCCCTTAATCCCTAAAAGCTTCTTTGGGATTTGTAAATATTGAGCTTGAATAATGTATCTTTGTTAATATGCCTTTTTGAAATCCTTTCCAGTTCCAAAGAAAATCAATCTCTCTTCCCCAGACCCCATTTATTTTCTGACTTCAGAAATGAGGTAGCCAACTTGTTGTCACTTAATTAGCAATCTGGAAATCTGCCACCTCTCAAGAAGAAAGTCAGGGATTTAATCTGGGAAGCAAAGTGATCCAGATTCAGCTCCATGAGAGACCGTGCAACCAAGGGTAATCGCGCCCCTGTGATGTCACCACAGACGCCTTCCACTTTAGGAGCAGTTATAGGATCTTCCTTCGCTTTGGCAGATATCATAGAATGGCAACATGAGAAGGAGCTTTATTTGGCCCAACCCTCTTCATCATGTAGATGACATTCTCAGGCCAAGGTAAAGAAAGGGACTTAGGGTTACAGACTGCTGAGGTTAGAAGCACCTTAAAGGCCCTTTGGTCCACCCTCATATATGGGCTAGAGCCTCCTCTACACTACATGCTAGCGTGATCATTCCAGCCTTTACATCTCTACTGGGAGCGAACACCCTCCTTTCCAGAGACCCCTCCCCCACTCCATGAGACTGCACTGATTGAAAGTGACAACTCATACTGCACCCAGCTCTGACTACCTGTAGCTTCTACTCTTTATAACAGAACAAATTTGAAGGCACCTGCATCCTTATAGATTAGAGAACTTATAGAACTTATTATAGAATTTATACACTGTACTTCACTTGTTTGTTTATATTTCCTGTCTTGTCTCTCTCTCCTTAAACTGTAAGTTCCTTAAAGACATAGCTAAATCTCATCTGCCTGTACACAACAGCTCTTGGTCAGTTCCTCCTTCCCACTTTCTACCCTGGGCAACAGTCTTGTGCGGCCAGTAGAGAATATCCCTTCTCCACCACCAACTGTCTCTGTCCAGCAAGGCATCATAGATAAACTGGGCTTCCCCCCTGCAATGTCCTTGGCTTTGTTTTCATTATTCTGTTTCCTTGTCTTCAACTGCCATTATTTATGTTGCCGCTTCTGCTGATGATGACGTTGGCATCTCTAGTGCCTAGAGATTAGGTACTCAATAAAGAGACTGCCAGGTAGGTTGTATTCTGAAGCTATGAGAGGTTTAAAACAAAAGAAAGAAATCAAACAGGGTCCCTGGCCTTGAGACGGTTACTAACTAATGAGGGAGAAAGACAGATAAGTGGACAGTTAGAATGCAGCTTGACAACTACCATGACAACAGCACAGTAGGCAGAGAAAGAGCTCTCACCAACTAACATTTATTTAGTGCTTATTGTCTGCCAGGATTATACTGGGCACTAGGTGTTCCTGGATGTAGACAAAAAAGGGGAGGAAGGACATTCCAGGCAGAAGCATAGAGGGTAGCATTTTGGGGGCATCCACAGGGGCTTGGCTTGCACCTTCCTTGGCTC